AACTTTTGTAGGTAAAAAGTCTACCGAGTAGCTGTTTGGGTGACAGTGTTTTTGCTTACCAGCATCCACTTCTGTCCTTTCTCCAAGATCATGAAATGCGTGTTGTCTCCCAAGGTCTGAAAGAACTCTTCTGTGTCCACCACGGTGCCATCTTCCTCCAGCACCAGAGTGACCAGTCCAGTGGTGATGACCAGGGCATCCAGAGTCTAGGTGGGCAATGCATCACAGAAATGGAGTGAAGCCAGATATTTCCATGTGACCATCCAATGACATTTATTAAGTTACAGTTTTCAGAACTGTTGGCTGATTCTGACAAAATTTTAATGGTAAAGGTAACCTTGACTTGTATCTATGACTCAGTCTTTGCTCGGAAGCAGGGAAGTGAAGAATGCTCTTTTTAAGATGCGGACCCACTATGCCGCCGAGGCTGGAGTGCAGTGACTGTTCACAGACACAACCATAGTGCATCACAGCCTCGAACTCCTGGGCTCAAGCAATCTTCCTGCCACAGCCTCCGGAGTGGCTGGGGCTACAGGTACATGCCACTGCATGCGGCCAGGAAGTTAAGATTTTTAATGGATCTGTCTTCTTAAGATACATGAGATAATGATTACATTAAATAATATTTGTAATTTCTAAGATTACCTATTTATTTAGATGAATAAAAACAAAACTCCTGCATGTTTGCTGCTGTAAGAGCCACAGCGTCGTGTGCATAGCTGAGCATCTCTCTTGCTTCAGAGACTGCGTGTTGGATGCTTGTTTCTCGTTTCCATGGGTGCCTGAGTCTGAGTTATGCTTCCCTGAGAGGCTGGGGTTCTTCCTTATTTGGTGGTCTAGGACACTGTTCTAGATCCCGGCCTTTACAACTAAACCCAGACTTCCAAAGCCGGCTCCATCCCTGTATCCTCCCTTGTCAAAGAAACAAAGTGACATTCTCCATTAGTGACTGTTTTAAGGTTTTTGTCTCTGTACCTCAATGTTTTATGGTACAGAGATGTAATGTTCCCCTTGATCATTTACACCTAACCTTTACTCTCAGAGTCTCTGAGGCCAAGAGAAGGTCTGATGAGTTTAAGTTGCTGTTTCTCCTTCTTTCTTTTCCTCCCCTTTTAAAACCAGCTTTATTGATATATAATTCACAAGTCATACGATCCACTCATTTGAAGTATACAGAGCCTTGGTTTTGGTATGCTCACAGAGTTGGACCACCGTCACCACAATCAATTTTACGGCACTTTCACCACCACTGCCAAAAGAGAAACTGGCAGGCACTTGGGAGGCTGAGGTGGGAGGATCACTTACGCCCAGGAGTTTGAGGCCAGCCTGGGCAGTATGGCAAGACCCTGTCTCAAAAACAGAAAAAGAAAAAGAAACTCCAGAACCACCAGCAGTCATTCCCAATTTCTCTCCCCGTTTCCTCCTGGTGAGATGCAGCTTTTCTTGACCTTTCTGTGCTGGCCCTGGCTTAGAGCCCAAGACCATGGGCCTGCGTGAGTGCAGGGCGCCCCCTGTGGACTGGGGGAGAAGTGCCTGCAGCACCTTGCTGATGGGCCCAAGACCATGGCCCTGCATGAGTGCAGGGCGCCCCCCTGTGGACTGGGGGAGAGGTGCGGGCTCTGCAGCACCTTGCTGATGAGCTCAAGACCATGGCGCTGCGTGAGTGCAGGTCGCCCCCCTGTGGACTGGGGGAGAGGTGCGGGCTCTGCAGCACCTTGCTGATGAGCCCAAGACCATGGCCCCGCGTGAGTGCAGGGCGCCCCCCTGTGGACTGGGGGAGAGGTGTGGGCTCTGCAGCACCTTGCTGATGAGCCCAAGACCATGGCCCTGTGTGAGTGCAGGGCGCCCCCCTGTGGACTGGTGGAGAGGTGCGTGCTCTGCAGCACCTTGCTGATGAGCCGAAGACCATGGCCCTGCGTGAGTGCAGGGCGCCCCCCTGTGGACTGGGGGAGAGGTGCAGGCTCTGTGGCACCTTGCTAATGAGCTCCTGCAGGCTGCTTGCCATCACCCCACGCCGGCTGCTCCTGTCATGGTTGGAGACCCGGAAAGGGCGAGCTGGGTGCGTGAGCGGGCTGAGCAGGACTCGCTTAGTCTGTGATCCCATAAATGTCAGGGGCCTGAAAATGGAGGTGAAAAGTAAAACTTTTTAAAAAGAGTCTCTCATGAGAAGTGTGAAAGTACATAAAAATAATGCATTTTTAATATTTGCTTCTAAAATAAAGCAATTCAGTGGTTGGGATTACTAAAAATTATATATACACATGTACACATAATTCCAAAGAAGAAACAAGTAACGCATCAAGCCAAAAACACAACCATCTTTATTCCTATTTTACTAGAACATCCAAAGTCCTTGCCGAAACTCTTTGAGAAGGAATGGTTAGGGCATTCGACTCCAACAAGAAATAAGACTTATATTCTGCAAATATGCATGGGTTTTAGAGATTTAAAAAATCCAAAAGAATGATTTCTAGTGACCATGAAGCAGTTACACAGAGTTAGCAAGGCCCTCAGACACGTGCATACAGCTACCTGTTTATACAGTAAGGGTGAGCCAGAAATCAATTCAAAAGTGTGATATTGGTCACTATAGCAATCAATGAAGTTTCTGAAATCAACTTAGGATGAACCAAGAACAGCAGAACCACTCTCAGAACTGTGGCTGGAATCACAAGAAAGAAAAGACCCACAGGGCTTACATCACAGGACACTTTGGAGTAAGTCCTCATTTATCAAAAAATTCATTCAAACATTTACTTTTTTTTTTTTCCTTTTAGATACAGGGTCTTGCTCTGTTGCCCAGGCTGGAGTGCAGTGGTGTGATCTCAACTCACTGCAGCCTTGACATCCTGGGCTCAAGCAATCCTCCTCCCTCAGCCTCCTGAGTAGCTGGGACTACAGGTGCAAGCCATCGTGTTCGTCTGAGTTTTGTATTTTTGTAGAGACAGGGCCTTACTTTGTTGCCCAGGCTGGTCTTGAACTCCTGGGCTCAAGGAGTCCTCCCTCCTGCCTCAGCCTCCCAGATGAAACTTTTGATAGCAGTGCAAAACCTGCTGGGCATGGTGGCTCACGCCTGTAATTCCAGTACTTTGGGAGGCCGAGGCAAGAAGATAGCTTGAACCCAGGAGTTCGAGACCAGCCTGGGCAACATAGTGAGACCCTGTCTTTACAAAAAAATAAAAATAAAAAAATTAGCTGGGTGTGGTGGTGCACCTATACTCTCATCTACTCGGGAAGCTGAGGTGAGAGGATTGCTTAGCCCTGATGAACCTAGAAGGTCAAGATTGCAGTGACCCAAGGTCACACAACTGTACTCCAGCCAGGATGACATAGTGAGACTCCAAATGAAAAAACAAAAAAAGAAAAGAAAAGCAAAAGTGCCTTCAACACATGATTACACTGCATGCTTTTATTTTTTATTTTTATTTATTTATTTTTTTTGAGATGGAGTCTCGCTCTGTCGCCCCGGTTGGAGTGCAGTGGCCGGATCTCAGCTCACTGCAAGCTCCGCCTCCTGGGTTTATGCCATTCTCCTGCCTTAGCCTCCCGAGTAGCTGGGACTACAGGCGCCTGCCACCTCGCCCGGCTTAGAGACGGGGTTTCACCATGTTAGCCAGGATGGTCTCGATCTCCTGACCTCGTGATCCGCCCGTCTCGGCCTCCCAAAGTGCTGGATTACAGGCTTCAGCCACCGGGCCCGGCCACAATTTGTTTTCAATGAGGCAAGCCGGAGGGAAATGTGCTGGGTTGGGGTCCGGACCTGTCAGAATGACCTACACACCGTTGCCAGGGGCCCACCAAGTCAATCAGAGCCTTGCCCAGCCGGGCTGTGCCCCAACACGGCCCCAGGACTGGCACACAGCTTCTGAACTGTCACCTCGATTAAGAGACTGACGCAGGGTTCTCAGTTACACAATGCCATGAACAACACTGCTGTGCTGACACCACGGGGAATTCTCGCACGCTCTCACCCCTGGTGACTGGGGGAAGAGGGCGGCAAGGACTGGCCGTGTTACATTTCACATTCAGAACCCAGGAGTCGCCTCCACCTCATCACAGCAGCTGAGACTTAAATGAGCTGAAGTCCCCACAAGGAGAGAGAGAGAAAGGCCCGAGGGCCACTGGATGCCAAACCTTTGTGTGTGAGAGCTAGCGACTCGCGTTAGCACTCCTTGGGATCCACCTTACAGACAGTGAAACCTAGGCCTGGGGAAAGCAGGAAGCGAGTCGTCAGGGCAGCAAAGGCTAGACCAGAGTCTGAGCCCAGCTCTAGCTTCCACCCAGCACCTGGCCAGAAGAGGCGGCTCCCGCAGGAGAGAAGGGCCCGGCCTCAGCAGCAAGAAACACCCTCTCTTTGCCCCCAAAGCAGGAGGTCAACGCAGTCTTGCACAAGGCTTCTAGCATCTGTCTCATGGGGTCTGGCGGTGCATTTCCTGCTTTCACAAAGAACCTATCAGCACACCATCTATTTACTGAGTTAAAGATGCCAGGCCAAAATCAGAGAAATGAGAGAACATGATCTGTGTCTTCCAATGCTAGATGCAGCCCCAGTGATCAAAGGCGCAGCTTTGACCTAGTTAGCCCTGGCCCTGCATTTCCTCATTGGACGAACATGCTCACGCCTTCGTAAGTACCTGTGCTCCAGTGACCTGGCCCAAATGATTAATTCCAAGTTCCTGCGGTCTTTACCTGTCTGACAAGATAAGAGCCGGCAACCATTTCTGGTTCTCCCTGCCTTCACCTGCCCTCAAGATCGCCATTGTCAGTGAAAAAACACCTATTGTTCTCACCTGTAGCATTTCCCAACCAAGAGCTGGGTCATTGCTGGAGGAAAGGCTGGTGGGGGCACTGAGGACAGGAAATTTACCCCCACCTTCTTGTCAAAGAGGAAGGTGAGTGATTTCTGAGTCAAATTATGTAAAATCAAGACCATCTCATATGTAACACAGAAAGTGGTTAAATGAGATGTTCTGTACGCCAGGCCTACAGGTACCGAATCTGTTGCTACGTGAACAAGCCACCGTCTCCACCCAACTCACCTCCAGCCCACTGAGTAGAGTCATCTCTATCACTGGCCATCAGCACCGTGCCTAAAAGCAGGGCCACTGAGCAGCCCTAGGATCCTGCGTTTAGACACACCACATGTGAGAACCGCCACTCCCAATTCCTGTGAAAGTGGGGACAGACAACCGCAGGAAACGGAAAGGGAAATAACCTCTAACAGGGAAGATACAAGGAAACAGGTTGTTTAAGGAAATAGGCTGTTTCAGAGAAATCCAGAGAGGAAAAGTCAGACTTCACAGAACGCTGTGAAACGGTGTGTCTCCTAGGAACAGGCAGGAAGGGAAGGCTTCGTATTCCGCCCTGAGGGAGGCGAGGCACTGCCAACTTCCAAAAGTGTGTGAAATACACCAACAAGCCACAGACTGACAGTAGACCTGAACTCTTCTCCAGTAAAACAAACCTGAGCTGTACAGAGAATTAAAAAGCTTTCTTTATATGCCACCTATGGAGGAAAAGGGCCCAGGATTAAGGTCTTCCTCAAAGCAAATGTTTTGGTGTCATGGGTGAGGGGCAGCAATACAGGTAAGATGGTGCCCGGGAATATTCGGGGGGCAGTGATGGCTAAGGGAACCCTGCGTCTCATTAGGAAGAAAAGGAGAAAGAAGGGAGGGCTGGGAAACTGCTCCACAGGCCTGGAGAAGAGTCCCTGAGCTGTAGGGACAGCGTCAGAGGGTGGTGGGGTCAATGGCAGGAGGCAGAGAAGTGAGTGCTGCCTCGATGAGGCTTCCTGCTGCCCGGCTGCCCTAGGGCTCTTGGATGTGACATACACAGGTGGGAGCGCACCTGCCCCCCAGATGAACTCGCCCCGACAAGGACTGCCTGGCTCATGGCTCAGTTCTTCGCAGGCTCCCTAAAAAGGCTTGACGTTATCAAGTTTTCAATACATGACCATGAAGTCTTTGAACACTTTGCAGCTTCATTAAAATAAGAATTTAGATTCAAGAAGCAGAAAGATGAGATTCACTTGCAGCAAACTTAATTCCTTAGTAATGTCTCTAAGAAGACTGTGGTGAAATTTGTACTGAAATAGCAGCACCAAACCTACAGTTCCTTGTTCAAGGAAAGGAAAGATGTGCTGGATGGCTATGAAAGCAGCCATTTCACACGAGGTTTATAACAGGTATCAGCTTCATAACAACTTCAGCGTTTGGCAGGAATGTTATCACTGGCAGGACACACGAACAGAGCAGACTTTGTCTGTGACCGTCAACCTGCACGTGGACCTCCTTGATGTCGGGAGCTTTGCTGTGAGACCTCAGGCTGCTTTCCTCAGGACCAAGGCCCCTAATGATTCCAGCTGACTAACAAATTGTTGGGTTAAGGTTTCACCACTGACTACAAGTACCTGATTTTTAGAAATTGTGCACATTGATTAAGTTATTTCCTTGGCAAAATGTAGTTACTGATAAAGACAGAGTTATGATATCCTGGACCTGGTTTAAATTAAGGAACCCTGACAGGAGGCAGAAGTCCAGCAAGAGCACAATTAGCAAACGTGTTAGGACCTGGCCTCTGGCTCTTTTGCCCGGACAGGGTTTTTTGAGAAGGGCAGGGAAGAAAAAGCGTCTTCCCTTCAACAAGAATTACAGATTGTTTTCTTCCAGTTTAGTTTGGAAACAGGTAGATTTCACAGAATGACAGTAGTTCAGCCTGGAAGCAGGTGGATTTCAAAGAACTGCAACAACAGTTCATCCCTAACAGGTGAAGTCATTCAATCCTGGGAGGAGCCAAGCTAGAAGGAACCTGTCCTAGGAGACTCAGGGTTTCCCATTGTTTCATTTGTTAACAGCTCATAAGCAAGTCACTTCCACTTCACACTTGACCTCACGGAGACCCCATACAGATGCATTTTGGATTTTGATGAGTTGTTGTAATAGTCAGAGGCAGGGAGAGGCTCAGCCTGAATCCTGCTCAGAGGCCACCCAGGATTGGTTAGTGCAGAGTCAGCCCACACCTCCTTCCCTCATGTACCGGGGGAACATCGGTGTGTTGTGAATTCACTGGATAAGCGGTTGGAAGGACGCATCCAAACTGCTAAGTCCTCACCTCCTGGAAGTGGGACTGTGGGCTGGATGGTGCTGGAAGAACGCAAAAGCAACAGGGCCCTGACCTTTAGGCCTAAGCGTGTTAACGACCACACACGACGCAGGTATTTCTCAGCTCCCCCTGCCACCGCCCAGACTTGTACCGTGGGCTTGTTTTAAAAGAGCAAGATGCTTCTAACCTGCAGTGTCTACAACAGCTCCCATTTAAGAACCCGGGATCGGAAGCTCGTAGATCGCGTTTTGTAGCCGGACCGCTCCTTTCACCCGTGTGGTCTCTCTGCCCGCCACACTAGCACACAGTGGGATCCGGCGCCGCCGAACGCCTGCACCTTCAGGCCCGCAAGTGGTTCTCTATCCTTTTTTCATGTACTTGATCTTCAGGGAAACACGATCTCCCTCTCAGACCTAAACTTTACAGTTGCTGCCACGCAACGGCTTAGGATTTTACCAAGAATTGGCTTGGGTCTGCTGGGATCTGAAGATGAACCCAAGCACGAAAATAGCCTATGCTGCCTGTTCGACCACGAGCCGGTGCGCAGCGCAGGGAAGACTCCGCAGGGTCCACCTGCCCCTTGTCCCCCTGCTCCCCAGGCAGCGTCTCCGCCCCTGGACCCGGAGGCAGGAGGAGCTCTTCTCCCAGCACCACCAACCCGGCGGGCTCCGCCGGCCGGTCGGGGGCTCCCCTCGGAGACCAGAGCCCGCGCTTCCAGGAGGGGCCAAGCCCGGGCCACTCCCGCGCCCAGCTCCCGCTGCGACTTCCAGGACCCCCAGAAGTCCGCTCCCCTCGCACGGTGGAGGCTTTGCTCGGGGTTCCTGGGACCGGACCCTCTTCTGCGCCCGCGACTGCAGCAGCGGCCAGAGATGCAGCCACTCGTCAGCTGTCACCCGGTCTGCAGACGCCCGCGCACCTGGCGAGAGCCACCCCTGGCACCTGCGCCCAGCTGCAAGAGGGTGAGGAGGCGCGGGACGGGCTTGGGCTCTGCCCGCGGGCGCGGCTGGACGGCCTGGGCACCGGCGGGGCGGATGGGTGTGTGCGCGGGGTCGTGGAGCGCGAGAGAATGCGGGGAGCGGGGGGATGAGGGGAGCGGGGTACGGCACGAGAGGCGCACAGGGGAATGTGAGGCACTGGGCGCAGGGCGACTGGAAGCGCAGGGGAACGCGGGGCTCAGGGGACGCGGGGGCACTCGCCTGATGAGGGCTCCTGCATAGTCCCGGGCGGCCTCCATGGCGCGGATCCCCTCGCCGGCCTGGAGGCCCCGCTGCCTGCACCGTCTCTTAAAGTGCGGCGGCCCCGCCCTCGCCAGCCCGCCCGCCAGCCCGGCGAATGCCTGACAGGCGCAGGGGAGGACGTTGGCACCGGCTCTCCACTGCCCAGGCTCGCGGCTTCGCGCTCTGGAAGCCCGCGGTGGTCCCTGGCTCCTGCCGCCTGGAGCCGCGTGTCCTTCGCTGCCTCGGGCGGTACCGAGGACCTTGGAAGCCCAGATGCTCCGCGGGTCTCGTTTGGTCACGGGTCAGCCTGTTTGGTTTGCACTTCTAGGGGTCGGGGCAGTTGGGGTCACCACCTATCCAGGCAGCATCGCTTTGGCCGCGGAAAGACCGGTGCGTGGATTTTAAACCCAGGCCACGGGTGGGGCGAGTCAGGAGACGGGTGTGAGCGCCACTTGCCCCCCGCGCTGGAGTCCCCCGGAGCCCAGCCCCAGGCTCAGCGAGCCGCTGGGGCCCTGCAGGGGTGCGGACGCTGCCGCAGACACCCCGACCTGCAGCCCTTCAGGTTCTCGGGGCGCCTGGGCTTCCTGCCCGCTGCGCTGCTCTCAAGGCCGTGCCACGAGCATTTGGGGACAGTGGGAAGGGCGTGCGGAACGGCAGGGGAAGGGAACCTTTGGACGGCATGAATTGCCTTTTAGCTGTAGTAGGGACCTTCGCAGAGTGAGGAGGCAGAGAGCGAATCTCGCTGGGGCTGGGGGCTTTCCGTCCACACCCTGCTCTCATGGTTCTTCCCATCAGAAGATGCAACTGGGGCCTCTGAGGCCTCCGAGGAAGGCGGGCAGTCACAGGCGTTCCCAGAACCCCTCACTACAGAACTGAAGAGGTGGGCTCTGTGTTGAGGGGTGAGACTCCGGCAGTAAGAGGTGTAACTTTCTGGGTTGGAGGCTTGTTCGGACATCCTCTTGTGCCCAACTGCTGACTGCCGCCTGGGAACTGCGTTTCTGAAGCTGCAGTGGGATCCCCGCGGGCTCCTCCTGACCCCACCTGGTTTGAGCAGGTTGACCTGATCTCTTTAGACCTGACCCTGTGCCTGCCCTCTTCCTCCCTGGCTCTCAGAAAGTGATCAACAAGCCTTGTGACTTCCAGGACTGTTGAAGCCAAAGGCAATTGCCTTCCAGAGTCTAGGACTCCGCCTGCTGGGAACCCCCAGCCCCAGGCTCACAGGGGCAGTTTCCCTCAGAGGCACTGGGCCAGACACAGCCTTGGGAGGCCATTCACTGCCCCTCCCTCTGACAGCCCCAATTGGATCGATGAGAAAATGGGTCCAATCAATTCAGGTCAATATAGAGATATATAGAAAGAATGGGGCTGAGGGTGGTGGCTTATATCTGTAATCCCAGCATTTTGGGAGGCTAAAGCAGGAGGATGGCTTGAAACCAGGAGTTTGAGACCAGCCTGGGCAACACAGTGAGACTACCATCTCTACACAATAATAATAATAATTACCTGGCCGGGCACGGTGGCTCAAGCCTGTAATCCCAGCACTTTGGGAGGCCGAGACAGGCAGATCACAAGGTCAGGAGATCGAGACCATCCTGGCTAACACGGTGAAACCCCGTCTCTATTAAGAAATACAAAAAAAAAAAAAACTAGCCGGGTGAGTGATGGGCGCCTGTAGTCCCAGCTACTCGGGAGGCTGAGGCAGGAGAATGGCGTGAACCCGGGAGGCGGAGCTTGTAGTGAGCTGAGATCGGGCCACTGCACTCCAGCCTGGGCGACAGAGCGAGACTCCGCCTCAAAAAACAAAACAAAACAAAACAAAAAAACAAAAAAACCCCAAAAAAAACAAAGAAAACTTTTCTATATTTATTTATAGTAAGGTGTAAATGATTGCTGTCCCACTCAGCAAACATTTTCTGAGCATCTCACTGGTTATTTTCCATCAGGTCCATTCCCCGCCCCTCTTTCTCCAACCCTGTGCTCAGGAGGCTGCCCCAGGGGCTGCTCCTTGCCCTTGGGCTACCAGTTGGTTCATGCTGGGCTTTAAAAAATTAAGAACAATTGTACTGCAGAATAATGTGCACACGCTAAAACGCACAGATCTTTGTGTGAATGTTTATGTTCATAAACTGCTTAGATCAGGACAGAATATTTGCAATGCCCATTAGGCTCCCCTTGCCCCTTTAAGGCAGTGCCACCCACCCCACACTGGAGATCACACTGTTTTGCTTTCCGTTACAACAGGTTCGTTTTGCGTATTCTTGAACTTTGTATGAATTGAATCACGCAGGTTCTCATTTGTGCCTGGTTTTGTTTGCTCCTCATTGTACCTGTGAAATTATTCATTTTATTGTCTATGTTATTTGTTCACTCATTGTTGCTGCCAAGGAGAACTGCATCGTGTGGTATTTATGTTCCATTCCACAGTCCATGGCTATCTGGCCAGTAAGAATCCACAGGGCTGCAAGGCACTTTTGTACATGTTTCCTGGGTACACACGTGTGTTGCTTTCTCTTGGATGGAGGGGCCATGGGGACGTGGACACATCTGAATGGAGCGGCAGAGGGACAGATGACCATGGGCACAAACTTCCTCTCCCAGGAACAGGTGCGAAAGGTGGGATTTGAGGCCTGGCCAGGAGGTCTGCCTGGGCATCTGCATTTCCAGCAGTTCAGGTTTGGGTTCTAGTGCCTCAAATCTATGCAATGATGCCTTGGTCATGAGCTGGGTTACAGCAAAAGATTAAGGTGAATTTTCACAAAACCGAGGAGCATTGCTTGCAGTTGACTAAGATGTCTTTCTTCCCATTGTTGACTAATGAGGTCAGGCATGTCTGTTAGGAAAGTGAATGGGTTTGTAGTCAGAAGGGCCAGGGCAGCAGCTGGGGCTTTAGTGGGTTCACACTTGATGGCCCAGGGCTGGTGAGCCCCGTGGTGTGGGAAAGATTACGCAGGAAGTCAGGGCACCATCTCTCCTTGGGATTCCAATTCCAAGCCTCAGTTCCACACACAGAATAACCATAAACAGGGACAGTCAGCTCTCTGCATTTGCTGTGTCCGAGGTTGTGTCTGCAGAGAGCTGGATTTGAGAGGGCAGCTGCAGCACATTCAGAACAGGAGCTGAAATTCACCTGCCCTCAGCGTTGCCCGATTTGAAGTGCAGGTCCTAGGTTTCAGTGTCGGTGCCCAAGGTTGCAAGGGGTGAGGGCGGTCAGGAAACTTGTGTGAGGGGCTCTCAGTGTAGACAACTGCTTGTCCAGCTAGGTGAAAAGCAAAAGATCCTTTTAATTCTGGAGTGAACATTAAGATTTTCTTGATTTCTTGTGCAGCTTACATTAAAAACTCGATGTGGTGGGCTGGGCGTGGTGACTCACACCTGTAATCCTAGCACTTTGGGAGGCCAAGGTAGGAGGATCTCTTGAGGCCAGGAGTTTTAGACCAGCCTGAGCAGCATACTAAAACCCTGTCTCTACAAAAATGAATTAATTACCTGGGTGTGGTGAGGGATACCTGTGGTCCCAGCCACTCTGGATGCTGAGGTGGGAGGATCACTTGGGCCCAGGAGTTCAAGGCTGCACTGAGTTACAACTGCATTGCTGCACTCCAGCTTGGGCAACAGATTGAGACTCTGTATCTAAAAGATAAAATAAAAATTAACAAAACTCAATCTCATATTATTTCATGCCTACGATACTTAATGGTGCCCCATACATTGATTCTTAACCTTTTGGGGCTCAAGATCCCTGAAACGTCTGAAGAGAGTGATAGCCCTTCTCTCGGAAAAGACTCATATAACCACCGACATTGTGCTCATACTCTGGGGGTCTACAGGCTGGGAGGCCTGCTCTGAGGGGAGGCTGGTCTCTGCAGGCTGCAGCCCACCCCTCAGTGCTTTGTGCTGTTGATAAGCTGGGCACTCCGGACGCTTGTTTTGGTTGTGGCTGTTGCTGGGCTCGGATGTTTATTTTCCTTCCAAATATAAGAACAAAGGTGATGTTCTTTTCACTGACTTCCATCTGTGTTTTTCTGTCCAAAAAAAGTGGCCAAAGAAGCCTGTGTTCAGGGCTGATTCCAGGACTTTCCCAACTGGGCAGCAGGGCAGAGCAGACTCTGCTTTGCGCAACGGGTGTGTCAGCGCCAAGAGCAGCACATCCACGACCCCAGCCCAGGCTCTCCGTACAAAATGTCCTGATCAGCCGGGCGCGGTGGCTCAAGCCTGTAATCCCAGCACTTTGGGAGGCCGAGACAGGCAGATCACGAGGTCAGGAGATCGAGACCATCCTGGCTAACATGGTGAAACCCTGTCTCTACTAAAAAATACAAAAAAACTAGCCAGGTGAGGTGGCGGGCGCCTGTAGTCCCAGCTACTCGGGAGGCTGAGGCAGGAGAATGGCGTGAACCCGGGAGGCGGAGCTTGCAGTGAGCTGAGATCCGGCCACTGCACTCCAGCCTGGGCGACAGAGCGAGACTCCATCTCAAAAAAAAAAAAAAAAAAAAAAAAAAAAGTCCTGATCTTCCAGAAAGGTTTTAATAACATCTTAGCTCTATAAGGAATAGGTAAATACTATGTCATTGAGAATTATTTTTATGTAAACGTTATGGAGAGGGCAGGATCTTCTGGAATCACGGCCTCCAATCCTGCCCCTCTCCTGCCCCGTCCTCAGCTCGCTCTGGATCCTCCTGTGCCTTGTCCTGTGGGTGACAGCCACACGCCACAAGTGGGATTCTGCTCTGTGGGTGGTCTGCACAGTGGTGTCATATTCCACGGAATGTTCATAGCGTGCTTTCTCACCCAGCAGTGTGCAGCTCTTCCTGTCCCCAGACACGGGGACCGGCCCGCTGTTGTAACTGCCTGGAGTTCCCAGCACGTGTGCAGCATGTCACAACGAATATCTCCCTCTTGCTGCCCTCTGCGCTGTTTCCAGTTGGCCCTTGGCATCCACAGTGCTCTCCTGAGCATGCTCACATGCATCCTGTCTCCGTGGGTGCCTCGCTGGGGGTAATACCAGGAAGTGGAATCGGTGGATTTTAGGGTATGTCTATTTCATTTATTTACTTATTTTGTTATTTTATAACCGTAA